GAACCCACCCTCCAAGCCACTTGTGAATGACTGGCCTGATAACCATGGAAATGACCCCTCCTCCTTCTCCTCTTCCTCCTGTGCCACATCCTCTTCCATCATCGCCCGCAGCGTTTTTCAAGGAGACATAGAAGCAGGATAGTAAGGCTGAGAACGGCGTCATCAGCATTGGCCATGTTGGTGGAGTACTCAAAACAGTGCAAAATAGCACACAGGTCTAGCATGGAGTCCCACTCATTGGTGGTGAAGTGGTGCTGTTCCGCAGAGCGACCGACCCGTGCATGCTGCATCTGAAACTCCACTATCGCCTGCTGCTGCTCACACAGTCTCTCTAGCATGTGCAAGGGGGAGTTCCACCTTGTGGGAACATCGCATATGAGGCGGTGAGCGGGAAGACCGAAGTTACGCTGCAGCGCAGACAGGCGAGCAGCAGCAGGGTGAGAACGTCGAAAGCGCACACAGACGTCCCACACTTTCTGCAGCAGCTCTGATATATCTGGGTAATTTTTAAGGAATTTCTAGATCACCAAATTCAGCACATGCGCCAGGCAAGGGATGTGCGGCAAACCAGCTAGGCCTAGAGCTGCTACGAGATTTCGCCCATTATCGCACACCACCAGGCCGGGCTTGAGGCTCAGTGGCAACAACCACTCATCGGTCTGTTATTCCATGCCCGTCCACAACTCCTGCACTGTGTGGGGTTTTTCCCCCAAACATATCAGTCTTAAAACAGCCTGCTATCGTTTCCCCCTGGCTGTGCTGAAGTTGGTGGTGAAGGTGTTACACTGCCCGGATGAGGTGGTGGTAGAGGAGGAGGAAGCGGAGTAGGAGGAGGAGGCAACAGGAGTCAAAGAGAAATGCCCTGCAATCCTCGGTGGTGGAAGGACATGCGCCAAACTGCTATCCGCATCAGGCCCAGCCGCCACTACGTTTGCCCAGTGTGCAGTTAGGGATATATAGCGTCCCTGCCCGTGCTTACTGGTCCACGTATCTGTGGTTATGTGGACCTTGGGCTGATGGAGCTGCGCAGTGCACACCTGATTTTGTCTGCCAACTGGTTGTGCAGGGAAGGGATGGCTTGCCTGGAGAAGTGGTGGCAGCTGGGAACCATGTACTGTGAGACAGCCACCGCCATCAGGTTTTTAAAACTGTCCGTCTCCACCAGACGGAATTACAGCATTTCAAAGGCCACGAATTTTGAAATGCTGGCATTCAGGGCCAGGGATCGTGGGTGGGTAGGGGCGTACTTCCTCTTTCTCTCCAATGTTTGGGAGATGGACAGCTGAACGCTTCCATGAGACAGTGTGGAGATGCTTGGGGGGTGGCAGGTGCCACTGTCACTCCATAGGTGGAGGAAGAGGCCAAGACCGCAGCAGAAGAGGAAGCAGGAGGAGCCTGAGACCATTCTTGGTTTTTGATGTGCTTACTCCACTGCAGCTCATGCTTTGCATGTAGATGCCTGGTCATGCGGGTTGTGCTCAGGTTTAGCACGTTTATGCCTCGCTTCAGGCTCTGATTGCACAGCGTGCAAACCACTCGTGTCTTGTCATCAGCACATTGTCTGAAGAACCGCCACGCCAGGGAACTCCTTGGAGCTGGCTTTGGTGTGCTCGGTCCGTCGGTGCGGTGGGCAGTAACAGGCATACCGTCTAGGGGATGGCTGCTCCGCTTTTGCACCCTGCTCCCTCTTATGCTGTGCTGGTGCCTCTGTGCGACCACCGCCTCTTCCTCCAAACTGCACAGGTCACTCTTGTGACCTTCATTCTATGTGGTGTCTAGGACCTCATCATCCTCCACATCATCTTCCACCCACTCCTCAACCCTGCCTTCCTTGTCGCTCTGCACACTGCCGAAAGCCACAGCAGTTGGCACCTGTGTTTTGTCATCATCAAAGATGTTCTGCGATGGTCCTTGCATGTCCACATCTTCACACATAAGTGGTTGTGCATCAGTGCACTCAATCCCTTCCACTTCTGGGGCAGGGCTAGGTGGATGGCCCATGGAAACCCCACCAGCAGAGTCATCAAAAAGCATAAGAGACTGCTGCATGACTTGTGGCTCAGACTGCTTGGGTGATAGACAGATGGCCATGGGCTGCAGGTGCCAACTCTGAGCTTTCAGCAGGGCACCGGGTGGGAGACAATGTGCAGGAACTGGAGGCACTGTCAGCCATCCAATCTACTATCACCTGTACTTGTTCTGATCTCACCATTTGTAGAGCAGTATTCGGGCCTACCAAATAACGCTGAAGGTTCTGTCATGTACTCGCACATGAGGAAGGTGTTTCACTTGTGCGTGTAGCTGGCACAGATCGACCACGTGCTCTCCTTGCAACAGGGATTCCACCAACACCAGAAGAACCACGACCAGGGCCACGTCCCTTATTTGACGCTCTCCTCATTCTTTGCGTTCACCCACCAAACTAACAGATGTTTTATGTCAGGCGACAATGTAACCGCCAACAATCAACAATTTATTCTTTTTTTAGTTTATTGGACTGCAAGAAATGCACCACAGGCCACAAATTTACTATTTAGCACCCAGAAAATAAGAATTTTTACAACTGCGCTATAAGCACACTATTAGACGCTTCTATTTGACTCTCAGATATGAAAAGCAGGCCACAAAATGAACTATTTAGCAGATTAGCACCCAGAAAATTAGAATTTTTACAACAGCGCTATATGCACACTATTAGACGCTTCTATTTGACTCTCAGATATGAAGTGCACACTCCAAAATGTACTATTTAGCAGATTAGCACCCAGAAAATTAGAATTTTTACAACAGCGCTATATGCACACTATTAGACGCTTCTATTTGACTCTCAGATATGAAGTGCACACTCCAAAATGTACTATTTAGCAGATTAGCACCCAGAAAATTAGAATTTTTACAACTGTGCTATATGCACACTATTAGACTCTTCAATTTGACTCTCAGATATGAAGTGCACCCCAGTAAAATACTATTTAGCAGTTTAGCACCCAAAAAATTTTAAGTTTTAAAACTGCAATGTGACAGCAGTATTTGACGCTTCTATTTGACTCTCAGATATGAAGTGCACCTCACTACTGTACTACCCCACTAATGTACTATTTAGCACCCAAAAAAATTGACTTTGTAAAACTCAGATGTAACCGCGGTATTTGAAGCTTCTATTTGACTCTCAGAAATGAAATGCACTCCACCCCACTAATGTACTAGTTTGCAGAATTCTTTCCTAAGCTGTCCCTATCAGCGGCAGCATCCTCTCCCTACACTAATAAGACCGCACGTGCGTGCAGCGCTACGCAACTCCAGCTTATATATAGAGGCTGGGTCACATGCTGCACTGCCATTAGTAGGCATGGCTGGTATGGCTTCTAAGGGCACATGAGTCAAACGCTTGTTGATTGGCTGCCCTGCAGCGTTTGAAAACGCGCCATTAAGTCGACGAACACCGAACTCCAACCCGAACATACAGTGATATGTTCGTGTTCGGGTCTGGGGTCCAAAAAACTTAATATTTTGTACGAACCCAAACTTTATAGTTCGGGTTCGCTCAACTCTATATATTATACATTCACATGTTTTTCTTTTTAACTGAACAACGTAAAATTAAACAAATTAAAAATAGAAATAAAAATTAAATTAGTTAAGAAGTGTGAGGTTTCCTAGTGGTCTGGGCATTGTAATTTAGGATTCCTGTGAGAGATTTTCTTTTCTCCATGAGGGTTTATGTAATAGTCATGTTTGGTCTACTTCATATGGTTTGGGTCAAAGCTGATGCTATAATTATTATAAATGGTAACAGTTAAAACATGTATAAAACAAACAATGGGCATGTCTCAATCTCTCAAATGTATTATGCATATCATAGTAGTTTTTGGGTTATGAGGGATATTAGATTGTGTCCACATGTCATGTTATTAAATGGGCAGGAGGTCAAGACCATCTACTAGTTCAGCAGAATAGAAGGCAGTGTATTCCAATGCATTTTACTGTATTTCCACAGGTTGAGAATATCTCCAGGTTGAGTATGTATTGTTTCTGTATAGAGAGGAACTTTTTAACCATTAACTCGTTATTACTTAATATTTTGATCCATTCCATCTTGCAAAGATGGTGTAGAATAGTTAAGAAAAGTGGCAGGGGTTTGCTTGGTTCCAGTGTTGTAACATGGTTTTGCATCCCACTGTCATTATTATGTGCGTACATTTCTTGTTAGGGGTTCTTATTGAGGGTAAGAGTAAAAAAATAGACATATCTGGGGTAATAGAGGGTAGATTATGTGTTTTGAGATACTGCGTCACCACATTCCAGAACATTTAAATAAATGGACAGTCCCAGAAACAGTGATACATATGTGTGGTCTCTGAAAGACAATTAAAAGAAGTCACTGACTCTTTCCTTCCCATTTTAAATAATTTGAGGGATGTACAATAAGTAGTATTTTAGGGTAATTTCGTAGTACAAATGGTAGGAATTTGACTAGGTATGCATATTGTTTGAGAAGGTCCTCGATGGTGGCAGTACCATTTTGATCTGAATGAGGATAGCCTTGAAACTGTAGATGTGCATACAGCTATAGTCACCAAACAAGGAGATACAAGATGAATTTCGCATGGAAATCATCTGGAGTGTATTCATATGAGCATAAGTCCCCCATTCATTTTACTGGGAATTGATTGCTGCTAGCATCTCAAAGGAAGTATCAATGCCTGGGGAAATATATATTAATATATTTGTTTTTGCTAAAAACTAAATTCATATTGTATGTTCGTGCAAATTAAAAAAGTTAATGGTGGTACTGATGACATATTTTAGAGAACAAAATAAACAATACAGGTAGCAGCTCTGAAGGGCATGGCAAATCAGATTAGTGTATTGTGTCACCACCTAGTCTCAGGGCCCCTTTGACACATTGGTTTAATTACTTAGGTATGTCCTTATTTCCTAGCGACTGTGTGGCTGTATAATGGGTTTTCATTTTTTTTTTTTATGTGTAACATGGTAACTTATTTTCTGTTAAGTGCACAGGTAACCCCTCACAACTTATTGAGATCAATGACTATGTAAACCTTCCAGATGTTAAGTGGAGTCAATTGCTAGATCAGACAAGTTATAAAATGTCCAAGGCTAAAGATACAAAATACATGTTTGGGTGCATAGCAGAACATACAAGCTATATGATCACCATGATTTCTGTAAGGGCTCTCACCAGTTGGGCAGCTTGAACTGGAAATGTACCTCCAGAGCAAAGCATTATACATTTGGAATGACTATAAACAAAAAATAAATGTACAATCCTCAGTTGCATTGTAGCTTATACTTGCCACTTGCCATTAATTCCACTTATAGAAGCCTGAGCCAAGCTCCAACAAAAGATACCACTCTTGCTCTGAGCTTCATCTTCTGGTGTCTGATGCGACCTACAATTGATGGACATACTGCACGAGGAGCATCATCTCTGGGAAAAACCTGCTTTGCACATACCCGAGCTATTGTCAACAACCAGGGCAACCATATAATCTTCCATTGTGATCATGAGGGGTGGCTGTTGTTGCTGTGTTGCAAATGGTGTTGTGTGCCAAGCGCATTTCCATTTTTTTTCATGTCTATTTTCTGCATGTAAAAAAAATAATGGCAACTGACAGGATAATAATAAACAGGTGATGGTAACTATACAATTGTTTATTAATACTTAATGATCAACTTTGACTATTCTTCTTCCTTGATTTAGTCCTGACTTGCGTGCCATTTGATGTGTATTGAAATTTAAAATATATCCATTTGTTCCTCCATCCAGAAACTAGATCTTAGAGCCAAGAATCCCAATTCAGATCTGCACCATTTGAAATCGTGCAGTAGAGAGCACTTCGTGTTACATTTTATGCATTGAACAATATGTGATCCAATACATTTATAGTCATGTACACGTGTTAGTATATATTGAAAGAAACCTATCTTATTTTACCTTATAACTGAATTTACACTAAATCTCTGAAGTATAAATGTGAATAATCTGCTATGCAATATACACTGAGCATAACTAGACTTAGTTACAGAACAGATACATTTAGAAAGATGTAACTATCAGGAGAACATTACCTCACTCTGCATTGGGTAAGAGTTTAATAGAAAATATACCGTTTCAATTTCACTTAATAGCTACTTTCCTGCTTGTTCGAAGATGTATTCACATGCAAAATAATTTTAATAAGCACAGTCTTGAATTACAGATCTTTTTTTTTTCTTTTAGAGTTTAATAAGCCCATAAGAAAAGAAATTCACCATCAACATCAAAAACCAAATAAGTAAAATATCCAAGTCAGCAATGAAAAACAAATGTAATATTTAACAGTTTGACAGCCTGTTATTTATTCAATAAAGAATGTGATTATCATGAAATTATCTCAATAATGAATGAGATTATCATGGAATTTTCAACCAGAAGGTTTTGAAATTGCTGGATGCGAATAAAATATAAAAAAGTTATTAAGCAAAATCTTTCTTTTAGAGTTGTTAAACTTGTAAAATTATCAAGATTTTATTGGAGGCTCAAGCATTGTCTTTTAGTCAGAGTTAATAGTTAGATTATCATGGGAAGGTGGAAGATAGGGGTTTAGGGTAGACGAATGACAAAGGTATAGCAGCCTATTATTCACCCGGCAGATCAGCACTTGCATTAGGCCTCCCGCTATCATACCTTTATATGCGGCCCTCACTAGTCCTTCAACCCATATCTTACTTACGGCCCTCTTTGGGCAATCCAACATGACACAATTTGGCCCCTCATTTGGGCAACCCTGTCATACCACGGTTAACTATTCCTTACAGCCTTGTTAGACCATGCAATACATTCCTATACAACACTCTCTCTACACCCCCAAAACCTAGGATACCTCATTACACATTAACCTTTTCCAGGCCTCCCTGGTCTGTCACTGTTACAAGTTAGTTTAATCATAACTCCAGTCACAAGCACTTACTAGATCTCTAGCACTTCCTTTCCTAGAGGAGTTCCCCATGTTTGAGATACGTACACCTGATCCTTCTAGTGGAAGAATGCACAGTGAGAACTCATACCGAGATGCAGCTCTACTAGGTAACTCTTTTTCCTATCCATAGTTTGGTCTGTATCCGTGCTTATACTTATAGGTCCTGTTATTAACTAGGTTTCTACTATCTTTACTTACCATCCTGTGGTTGACGTTTTAATCCTTAACCACAACACAGGTATGTTACCCTTATCTCAATATACATATTTCAATTTGTATACCCATTGTGTCTTTAGATCCTCTCTACGATTTTACTTTCTCAAGCTCAACCAAACAATAGTTGGGCAAGGTACATACATTCCTACGTACTTTTTATTAATTCCTTACATTTTCATTTTCATACATTCTTCAGGCTTAGATCAACTGGCTGTAAAGGGTATAGGTGTGGGCCATTGTAACAAACTGTGTCCCAAAAGACTATATTCCCTCTCACTCTTTCCCTGTTACACCTTCCACCATGAACAGCCATTCCAGTAAACCCTTTGTTTCAGCCCATCTCAGCTGTTGAGCCAATCAGAACACTTACCCGGCCAGCGGGAGATACGGACAATCTCCACGGAACTCCAGCACGGCTATGGATAAGGAGACTCACCCCAGTCACTTTTACCCTTGTTTTAACCCCCTTCCAAAAGAGCTCGGAACGCGCTCTTTGGAGGTTAGGTTACATGTTGTTTTTGGGGTATTTTGGGGTATTTGTGTGTAGCCTCTTCTGTGTCCAGGAGATAATTAGTTTACCAGTTATCAGCTCAATTATCTCCCAGACACAGAGACGCCTGGGCGGGCTTAGGAGCAAATGAATAGAGACCCCATGCTGGGGGTCCTTCTGCCTGAATAAACCATACTGAATTACCCTTCAAATTTATAGCTAAACCCTCTCCAAGCCACTTGGCATTAGCAGGACCTCGCCTTCCTTTGGATTAGCTCATTTTTTCGTCATCCGGCACCAAGCTAGCTGCCAGTTGATTCAGGGTTACACCATCATAACACAACAGTCACATTTACTCAATTTTTTGCATATTATTACATCTCACACCTATGCTCAAGGAGACGGGAATTCAACCCCGAAATCCCCTGAAAGAGCCCCTCACCTCAGCCTCGCTATACTCTGCAGCCGAGAAACTGAATACCACTAGCCACAGTTATTGGAGATCCTAGACTATTTCCAATTGCCGTTGAGCATAGACATAACGCAATGACAACTCAGCAGCTGAACTGTGTAGACCTATGATTTACAACTTCAAGATTCCCCAATCAGATATCAGGGCCTTAGTAGGAAACACAGACAGCATGGCAATGATGCCTGCTAAGATAACATACATGTTTCATCCTTATATGATTAACGGCAGACTGGAGAAGTTAGAATCTCCTAATGCAGGAATTCCTAACTCTCCAATGGATTACCCTCCTTCATACCCCATACTTCCATCCTCTCATGGTAACATCACCAGTCACATTTGGCACTACCTCCATTAATGTCAATACTGGCATTGCAGTTTCCACTTTTGCAGATTATTCCATGTCTGCTCCCTCTGCTTCAGTGCCACGCCAAACCAGGTGTCCTAAATGCCTTTACACAAGCAATAACAGATACACTGACCATCTGGCCTTTTACCGCAATACCCTTCCCCTTCACCTAGTAGACTTATTAAAATAACAACTGATTTACTACACCCTAGAGCATGCTCAAGACTGACCCTATTTTATCACTTGGCGTGCCACAATCTCAAGATAATCTGTGGGCCCCAGCAGTCATGTAATTTCTTGGGCATACAACTAGACTTGACATTGACACAGCACAGCCTCCCTCAGATGGGATACAGTGTAACAGGGAAACACTGAGTCCTTCCTTACCACAGGTGCCTGCTTCCCATGCTCTTTGGTCCCAGAAAATCCCTGGATAAATGCAAAAAAAGGAGACAATGGCCTTTTGACTGAAAACATCATGTAATACCACAAATGTGGTGAGTTGCCTAGAGATTACCTTCAGTAAGTGGTTTAGTTGAGAGAAACTAAGTAATTCTTAGAAGATGGGAGTCCTAGCCCCCACAAGGCCAGAAATCTTATGAGCTGCATTCTCTATTAGAATAGAGGATCAAGTACATTGTGGAGGGTCCACCTATTTCAGTATTGTGGTTTGTCTGCCTCCTGCTGGCAACAATGGATTTTCTACAGTAGGCATTAATGGTGGGATAGTTGGGAATTGTTGCATAGTGGAGCAAAATTTCCTCCAAAGTTGTAGAAAGGGACAATTTAAAGAGTGAGGGTTGGAGCACAGTTGCTATAGAGTGCATATCTACCATGGTAAAGTATCCGAGGGTACTGTCACAAAGCTATTTTCTAAGTCCAACAAAAAAAATCAAATAAAAGCAACAGATATAGCTCAACACAAATATGTGAAGTGTTATACCAAATTCAACTGAAAATGTAACTTATAATGACTTCTCCAGTCCCAAAATTATTCAACCTCTTCATGGCAAGCATCTTTACTACTTAGTAGAGCACCCTTTTTCTGCTGCAAATGAGATGCATAGCCAGACACCAGTTTCTGGCAGAGTTCCTGAAGATTCTTAGCCCATTGCTCATGAGTAATGGCCTTTAGTTCAGGGTTTGCGTGCTGCAACTGCCTTCTTCAAATCCCACAAGAGATTTTCTATGGGGTTCAAGTCATGTGATTGTGATGGCCATGGTAGGAATTTCCAGGAGTTCTGCAACAAAGCCTTGGTGGAATTCGTGGTATGCTTGGGATCATTGTCTTGTTGGAAGGTTCAATGACGCCCAAGCTCCAGCTTCCTCACAGATGGCATTTTTTTCCTACGATATCCTGATCCATGTTGCCTTCCACACACTTCTAGTTTTCATTGCCAGAGGATGTAAAGCAGCATCAGAGCATCACCGAGCAACCATACTTGTATTTTTCAGCATATGCTTCATTCTTCCTCCAGACATACTGCTGATCCAATGGGCCAAAAAGTTCTAATTTTGTTTCATATCTCCACAGAACAGAATCCTAAAACTTCTGTGGCTTATATAGATGATTTGAACATATTGGAGTGATGTCTTGTGCCGGTGGGTAGTAGTGGTGTATAACTTGGAGTTCTGGCATGGAAATGGACATGGAAATCGACATTGGCAATGTATCTTACTGTGCTTACTGAAACCTCAGTCCCCTCGCCATCTTCTTGTATCCTGTACCTTGTTTGTGATAGG